TTTGATAGTGTACACACACACACACACACACACACACACACACATTTTTGTGTATATTTTTGTTGATAAAGAAATGAAGGGAGACTAGTATAGATCTATTTCAAGCTATTTAGCTCTCATCAGCTAGCCATACCCTTGCTGGGATTTGAACTTGGGCTGCTTACATATTAGGCAGTCATATTAACCTCTCAGCCACAAGTTCTCCTCCCTTTATCGGCTGAGCCAGATTAAGTATTTTTCCAAGCATCTGGTCTACCCAAATATGGGAGGGAGCATACTGCTTCCCTTTCGCATTTCAGCCCTGTGCCAGGAGCTTTGCAGGCAGTCGCTTACATGACAAACCATTTTGTGTTACATTTTTGTGGATAAAGAAATGAAGGGAGACTAGTATAGATCTATTTCAAGCTATTTAGCTCTCATCAACTAGCCATACCCTTACTGAGATTCGAACTTGGGCTGTTTTTACATATTAGGCAGTTGTATTAACCTCTAAGCCACAAGCTCTCCTCACTTATCAGCTGAGCCAGGGGAGGGATTAAGTGTTTTTCTGAATACAAACACAACACTTAGATTTATATACCGCTTCACAGTGCTTGCCAGCCCTCTAAACAGTTTACAGAGTCAGCCTATTGCCCCCAAAAATCTAGGTCCTCATTTTACTGACCTCGGAAGGATAGAAGGCTAAGTCAACCTTGAACCGGTGACAATCGAACTGCCAGCAGTTGGCAGTCAGCAGAATTAACCTGCAATACTGCATTTTTCTGTCCAGTATGCTGCACTTTTTATCAACACACTCTGATCTTTATAAAATGGAGTAAGATCTTACAGGCTAGCTACAGATGTGTCATTTGGTAACTCTCTTCTTAGATGGAAGAGCAGCAATATTATGATGCTGTTTCCAGCATTCGTAAAGGCAATTAGGCTATGCTTGGCAATTCATATTATTTTTATTTTTTGTTCAGTTGCAACATTTGCCCTTCCAAGCTACTGAGATTCTTGGCAGCATGGTCTCCTTTATCACTTTTCCCCTTCTGCCCCTGAGAGATGCTCTTGACTCAGTACAGTAATTGCACAGTTGTTGGTAATATGATTAATATATGTAGTGCGCTGTTGTACATGCATTACCGTGGCACAGTTTCCCATATTCCCTCAATAGTGCAATGTTCTCTATTCCCTTAGCACATTAATACTTTAACACGAATTACTCGAGGGTTCCATGGGGACGGGTTTAGCTGAAGGACCCTGGGAGTTGAAATGGAGCAGGGAAAGCAACTCTTGATCTTTAAGAAGTGATTGGCTTTGTGTTTTGAACTGTTGGTTGGCCTGTAACCGAAGCATCAAAGTGAAAAGCTGCTATGTTATTATTGGGACAAACTAAAGAAGAACAATATTTGGTGTATGTCATCTGCCTCTGGGTTTGCTTCTCCCATATGTCCTACAGGATTGTGAAGCTCTGAATAAATAGGCTCTATTTCCAAAATAGAACAGGTGCAATAAGAGCACTTAATGATTCACAGATACAAATGGATGGATGGATGGATGGATGGATGGATGGATGGATGGATGGATGGATGGCTAGAGAGATGGTATTCTACTGGTTCAGACCAGGTAGCCCAAACTGGTGGCAGGCTCTATGGCAACCCATTTAGGCCCTTTTTCTGCCAAAAGCGTATGTGGGCTGACTTTTGTGATCTAGTAGGGAAGGTACCTGTATACCACTCTTGGATGGAATGATAACGGGTGGATGAATAGATAGATGACATAGCTAAGGCTGTATATGTAGATGTTGAAATAAATATATAGATAACAGAATAATAACAGAATTGGAACCTTGGAAGTCTTCTAGTCCAACCCTCTGCTCAAGCAGTAAATCCTATTCCATTCCAGATAAGTGACTGTCCAATCTCTTCTTAAAAGTTTCCAGAGATGGACCATCTATAACTTCTGAAGGCAAGCTGCTCCACTGGTTAATTGTCCTCACTATTAGGAAGTTTCTCCTTAGTTCTAAGTTGCTTCTCTCCTTGATTAGTTTCATTCCATGGCTTCTTCTCCTGCCTTCTGAGGTCTTCTAGTCCAACCCTCTGATTAAGGCAGAGGACTTGATATCATCTCAGACAAATGGCTGTCCAAAGTTTTGAAATCTTCCAGTCAGCCAGAGTTCTAGGAGGCAAACTGTGCCATTCATTAATAATTCTCATTGTTGGGAAATTTCTCCTTAAATCTAAGTTGTTTCTCTCTTTAATGAGCTTTCACCCGTTGCTTTTTGTCACACCTTCTGGTGTTTTGGAGAACAAGTCAACCCAATCCAAATTTAAAGGAGATCAAATGTCTCCTTTAAAAAGAAGAATATTTTAAAAATGTAACAATTTCTTTTCCATTCAATTGAAGAAGCAGCCCGAGGGGAGAACATGCCAGAGAAAATATTGGCCAAGCACTAATACATAGTTCCACATATATTGTTTTCTTTGCAAAATATACATAAACGGTATGATAAATCGGGTTCGATTAACCCTGCGCTAGATATAAATGTACAAACAATTAACTAATTTTAATCTCTCACACTCTTTTTCTTTGGGAAAAAAAAAACATCTGTTGGCATTTTTGTTTGAATAATCCTTGTTTAGTTTCCATAATAGTGTACATTTTAATGAAAAACTCATTAGAATGTAACAGAGGGCATAATTAATTCTGGGTGATTCTTTCTATGTAAATAGCTAGCACAGATGCCAAATTCCATTTTCTGCTGGCTTTATTAATTTTTCATACACCAATATTTCAGCCATAATGGGTTGTAACAGCTCCTCAGAAGTTTTAGAAACACATTAACTGCCATCAGAGCCGTTAATCTAGCTTGGATTTACACCATTTGTATGATAATATTTTTAACACTACATTTTTAAAAACAATGGCAACAGCTTTGTTTTTTGTAATGGTTGGAAGCAAACCTCTATGTATAATTAACGTAACTAATATTAAACAATATTGGGTTAATTTCTCTGTATTTAGAAGGCAACTTAATCTATTTTGCAACCCATTTGCTCAAAAATATTTAGATGATTTTTAAAAAAGAAAAAAAAACCTGAGAAGAATGTGAAAAATAGCCACATTGGAAAGAAATAATGTTGTATTATAACAGCCCTTGCAGTTAAAACTGGGAGCTGAGATTGTCTAGCCTTCTCTTCAACTTTAGTGAAATATTTCAGCGGAATATTTTCTAATGTAGACGAGGCTCATTTCTCAAGCTTTCCCTGGCATTAACAGTATCAACTGGAACACTGCCAATCCTTCAATAGTAAGATTTTTATCTCTTTATTCCTGACTGTTCCAAACTTGCTGTTCATTCTCTGGTGAATACAATAATGAATGTAGATTTTATTATCTCCTCTTTCTGAAAATGACAACTTCTCAATTTCTGGAAACAGTAGGTTACAGATGGGGAGACTCATAATCTGGAAATATTTTCTCTGTTTCTTTTATCACTTTTCATGGTGATTAGCTTAACCCAGCCAAAGGTTTAGTTTAGCCCAGTAACAGGTTGTCCATACAGCACAGATGTGTATTAATATTTCTGATGTGTCCATGACTCCTAAAGATGGTTTCCTTCCTAATGCCAGGAAAATAAGAATGCAATTACTAAGCAAGGCTGCACAACTCCAAACTCTACTGTGTGTTTGCTTCAGGGTGGCAAGCTGGGATGGGTTGATCTTCCTTAATGTAAAAATGAAAGTATTTATACTGGGTGAGAGACAGGCTATCTATAGACCAGACTTCTTCAATCTGAGAAGTTTCAGGTATTTATGGGGCTAAAAATCTCAGATCTCTTATCTTTTGGTCACTCTAGATCAGGGGTCAGCAACCTTAAACACTCAAAGACCCTCAAAGGTTGTAACCGGAAGCCCCTTGTTCAATTCTGGAGCCAACCAGAAGTCCGGTTCCACCGCCATAGAGTCCCCTCCGAGCACAGTGTCCTTTTTCCTCTGCCGACTAGAAGATCATAGAGTCCCTGCTAGCATGGCATCCTTTTTCCTCTATCTGTCCTAGTTGAAAGCCTTATCAATTGTGGAGCTGACCAACGACAGGGAGCTGCAGCAGAGGGATGAAAGAGCCACATGCGGCTCCAGAACTATGGGTTGCCAACCCCTGTTCTAGGTGCAAATAATTGTGGGGGTGGGAAAAGTGTTAAGATGGGAACTTTTGCTGCAGGTGATTGGGAGGTAGATTTGCCCACACAGAAGAGCAAATATAACTTACTGACTATGTCAAAAAAGCTATTTTGGTTTTGCATAACTCTGTAATATTTTTTTTTCATATATGTGCTCCCAATCTCAAAACACTTTCTGTCTTTCTCTGTCTCTCTTTCTTTCTCTTTCATAGGCAGGGTGCTCCTGTGCCAGGCAAATCAAGAAGGATCGCCCATGTACAGTGCCCCCAGTTCACTAGTATACACCTCCACAAGTAAGCCAATACTCCAGCTACCTTTTTCCTGATTGATTTGTTGATTGCCTTGGAAATGTCCTCAGAAAGACCCAGTTCTTGGACTACGTTGAACATGAAGTCTAAGAAACCTGCAATTTCAAGGTGGAGAGTGAATGGTGTCTTTTGCCTACTAAGGAGGATATGCAGTAGAACCTCTTACCTCCATCTAGAAGAGGGCTGTGCACTTTGCGTGGTGAGATAGCAATCGTAGTCTGACATATCTAGCAGGTGAAAGGTTGAAGATGGGGTAATCTCAGGGGTGGGATCCTACCGGTTTAACAACCAGTTCACTGAGCGCATGTTTCATGCACTATGCACGCATGCACAGTTTAGAGAAGACTTACCTTCTGGATTACTGCTTGGGAAGGAAAAAAGCTTAGGCATGCCAATCCACTATGCCACGCAACTCAGCTGAGAAGATAAAGGTAGGTAAAGCACAGGGGTGGGCAAGCAGGCCCACTTGTTAGTGGGAGCAAACCGGTTCGCTCCCAGCTGACCATCGGAGCTACTGGTTCGCCTGAACTGGTCTAAACTGGTAGAATCCTACCTCTAGATGGTCTCCCTGGCTTTCTACAAGGTGTGGAAAAAAGTGGTAAGGATCCAAGACTGTCAGGTTCAAGGAACCAAAAACAACATGATGAATTGTTCACAGTAATTTCTTCATTGCTTTTGGTCCATAGACAGGAATCTTACCAGACTAAAGCACACTTTGCATAACTATGAGATAAATCCTGTTAAGATTTTAGAGAGGATCCCTTCTGGGCCTCTTTCTACAGAACAAAGGCTCACAGCTGATTTGTCTATTATTGACTTGAGAATGAGTTTCTCCATCCTGCAACCCAGCACCAGATTCCACCACATAAACTTCCCACCCAGGGTTCAGAAAAGGAGAGGTGAGAAGGAGAACTGGCTGGATGCCTCTAAAAGGCAAACATGGATATTCTTAAGGCCTCTCTAGGATGCCTCTCAAATGAAATGTTCAATATCACAATCAAACAAAACTTTTCAATCTATAAAGAGGACCGGTATAACTTTTATTAATTCTGTTTAATGTTCCTTTAATTTACATGGCAAAAGGGACGCAGTGGCTCAATGGCTAAGAAGTCGATCTTGTCGATCACAAAGGTCGGCAGTGCTGCGATTCGAATCCCTAGCGCCGCGTAACGGAGTGAGCTCCTGTGACTTGTCCTAGCTTCTGCCAACCTAGCATGTTTGAAAGCACGTAAAAAATGCCAGTAGAAAAATAGGAACCACCTTTAGTGGGAAGGTAACAGCATTCCGTGCACCTTTGGTGTTGAGTCATGCCGGCCACATAACCACAGAGACGTCTTCAGACAGCGCTGGCTCTTCAGCTTTGAAATGGAGATGAACACCGCCCCCTAGAGTTGGGAATGACTAGTACATATGTGCAAGGGGAACCTTTACCTAATTTACATGGCAATTAAATCAAAAATGGATTTTATCTTAACCCAAACAAACCTCCTTGTATGGTAGAAGTTTGTTCTCTGAGCTTGTGGGTTGATTTCTGAATGTTTCATTACCAGGCTAGGTAGCATCTTCAGCAGATGTTACCCAGCCTGTTAATGAAATGTTTGGAAACCAACCCACAAGCTCAGAGAACGAACCTCCACCCTCATCGTACACCCAAGCTACAGATGTTCACCACTATCACGGTCCTCTTTGTATCGGATCAGATCTGGGATGGGGTGGGTGGGTAGGGAGCTGGAGTTGGAATTCCAGGTGTGCCATTGTAAAGTACAGTAAAAAAAAGTGGAAATGTTGATTGAAAAAAATGGGAACGTTGTGCATTTAAGGTCATAGAAGATCATTTTGACAGACTGTGGCATGATTATAAGAATGCTGACAAAAGTGAAACAGTTATGGTATCATATAGGATAGTGAACTTTTTAGAGACCAAACTGCAACCCCAAACCCACTTATTTATCACAAAGTGTCAACATGGCAATTAAACCTAAATAATGAGATTTTACTACCTAAAATAATGATAAACAATGCAAACTTCATTTTTTCCTGCTTTTGAAATATTACATTTAGCAACAAGAAAAAAGAAAAACTTCTGTAATATCATTTCTCATTCCCTCCCTCGTTCTGTCTTTCTTTCCCTCCCTCCTTCTCTTTTCCCCTCTTTCTCTCTTTCCCTCCCTCTTTCTTTCTCTCTCTCTCTGCATCTCTATTTCTCTTTCCCTCCCACTCTATCTGTTTCTCTCTCTTTCCCTCCCTCCCTCTCTTTCCCTTCTTTCCTCCCTCTCTCTGTGCCTTTCTCTTTTCCACCCTCTCTCTTTCACTCTCTCCTTCTCTCTCTTTCACTCTCTACCTCTTTCCCTCCCTCCCTCTCTGTTTCTCTCTCTCTCTTTCCCTCCCTTTTTTTCCCTCTCTCTCTATTTTCTCTCTCTCTCTTTCTCCTCTTTCTCCCCCCTTCTTTCCCTCCCTCGATGGAGCTGGGCTGGGGTGCTGGCATGCGTGCCCACAGACAGGATCCTAAGTGACACCTCTGGCACGCGTGCCATAGCTTCACCACCACTAATATAGTGTTGTGAATAAGATACTTCACTACAACGAAGAGATGTTATGTCTTATGCTACTTATGTGAATAATTGTATCACTTGTCAATGGCAAATTTTAAGAGTGTTCTGCCGCCTTTCAAATTAAGTAATAATCAATCCAGGACACCTAATTATTTTTTTATTTAATGAAATTTAATATATTGGCATGCTTCTCATGTCCAAAACCTGCTCAAAACTAATCAATCAACCCATTCATAATGAAACAGAATTGATAAAATAAAAAAACTGCTAGCTGAAACAATCAAGGCTTAGAGCAGTGTCTGCCCAACCTAAGAACAACATAGAACAAAATCCAGCCAAAGTTCAGTTCTTTATTTGCTTACGCCCAATAGACAAAATCTTACCAGGCTAAAGTTTTATTATTCTCACCCTAATGAATATACCCTGGGAGATTGAAGGGCGTGGCTATCCCAAATCTCTTCCTCTGACTCATACAAGCTCCCCTTTCATAGGTAGAATCAGGGGTGGAATCAACTTACCTTTGCTACTGGTTCGCAAAGGGGAGCGGTGCAAGCGCACACTTTGCTTGCAGCACTCTGCCTCCGCACATGAGCAGAACCGTCTGCATGCGCAGAGCATAAAAAACGGGACATGATGACGTCCGGGTGGGTGGACGGAACTCCCCACTGCTGCCGCTACCGGTTTGCCCAAACCGGATAGAACTGGTTGAATTGCATCACTGGGTAGAATCCATTACAGGAAAATTTTTATTTATTTTATTTAAATTTAAAATTTTAAATAAAAAAAATAAAAAAAATAAAAAAATAAAATAAATAAATTACAGGAAAAGACCACTGCTCAATGCAGAAAGAATTCTGAAGTAAGGGGGAGGCAATCAAAACTTTCCATTTTCAAGGTCCTATCCAGAGATGGGCTGCCGCCAGTTTGGACCAGTTCAGGGGAACCAATAATACCGAGCAGCGGCTGGGGCCGCCCGCCCACCCACTCCGGTACTATCCCGTCCTATATAATTGCCGTGGTTTTTTTTGTCACGTGAGCTCACATTTTCAATTCTGGGCGAACTGACAAATGACTATGTGAAGCCCACCTCTGGTCCTATCAGTTAATCATCAATTTTTGTCTTATTTCAGTGCATAAAATATATTTTATCGAAGAGATAGTCTAATTCTACCACTCCCCTTCCTGTTCTGCTGTGAAGCCCTTTGTTTTCATTTCAAGGAGGGTCTGCAGGAAGGAGAGATCAAAAAGTAAAAACTAAAATAAGAATAGTGGCCTTTTCTCACATGAATCTTGCAGTTGTGACCTCCATCTGGATATTTTTGCCCTTTCCTTTCTGTACTCGTTTCTTTTTTCCCCAACAAGTCTCTCAGAAAACCACCACTGGTCAAGGTATACAATACAGAATCTGCTGCATTATCATTAAGATTAGAATTAGAATAGAATAGAGCTCGAAGGGACCTTGGAGGATCTCCCACCCTCCCCCAGCTTTTGGGGTGCGATGGCACGGTGGACCCATTTTTTGCCCTACTCAGACTCCAGAGGCTTTCTAGGAGCCTGGGGAGGGCAAAAACGGCCTCGCCAACCCCCCGAGGCCCATTTTCTGACTTCTGGTTTTCATGTTGGGCCATTTTTTCCCTCAGGAGGGCAAGTCTCCAGAGGATGAAAATCAGCCCAACACGAAAACTGAAAGTTGGGGAACAGACTTCCGGGTTGCCCGTTGGGCTGTTTTTCTCCTTCAGGAGGCTTCCCTGAAACCTAGAATGTGGATCACATAACTTTTATTAATTCAATGCCATATACCTTTAGTTCACATGGTAATTAAATCAAAATTGGATTTTATCTTAGCCCAAACAGATTTCTTTGTTTCAGATCAGAGAGGGAGGTGGAAGCAGATTTCCAGGTGTGCCATTGTAAAGTAGAGTGAAAAAAGTGGAAAAGTTGTGCATTTAACATCAGGGAAGATGGCTTTCAGCATCATTTTGAGAAACTGGAAATATCTGGAAATATTGCAATTATTGCACTTCTTAAGTCCTAACTCACTCAGCTCGGAAGGGCCCATATTCTTAGGTGCTACCTTAATAATTCTTAGTTCTTAATCATTCTTAATTATTAAGTTTAGCACTCAATTATTAAGTTTAGTATTGCTAAACTTAATAGAGTATATTAATACAGTAAACCTAATACAGAATAGCAGTATTAAGAACTTAATTATTAATTATTAAGTTTAGCAATAGCACTTAGACTTCTCTACCGCTTCCCAGTGCTTTACAGCAATCTCTAAGCAGTTTACAGAGTCAGCCTATTGCCCCCAACAATCTGGGTCCTCATTTTCCAACCTCAGATGGATGGAAGGCTGCCTCAACCTTGAGCTGATCAGCATCGAACTCCAGGCTGTGAACAGAGTCATCCTACAATACTGCATTCTAACCACTG